AAGCAGCAATGGCATTTGCAGTAAAGCGCATCAGAATGGGCAGCACAGTTAAGCGCAATGCAAGAGCTAAACAACAGCACCAAGACAGAGGTGAGGAAAATGTCATAAATTGACATCAACAACAAGCCCAGGAAGAAACTGCAGAACGTCGAACTCAGTTAAGTAATTCATTTGTTATACCTTTTTAAGCTTAAAAGGTAAATGAGTACATGTAAATAGATCAGCATAATTACCCAAATGTGTTAAATTTAATAGATTAAAAAAGTAAACAGTCATTAATTAGACATTAAGATAAATGTTTGACAAATTAATACTAGGCCTAAAGTGAGTATATTGGTTGTAGTTGAGTTCAAGGCTCTTTAACATTTTAAGGATGGAAAGGATTGTATTCTGCAACTAACTATGCAGAAAACTCAGACCTTAGAGTAAAATGTAGGTGTGGTAAGGGGAGAGTGTGTGTGAGGCTATGGGGTAAAGAGAACCAAGAGAAGATAGTGGAAGAAGCTCCACAGATGCATTCCTGTCCAACTTTGCATGACACAGAATCAATGCAGATAAATGGAGTTGGGATGGAGATTGGTCATGGTCTGACTTGAATAGATGAGTGAACTTGCAGGCTCAGTAGCCTCTTGCTTTCATTTGATTGTTTGCCACTAGATCTGGCTTATTCATCTAAAATCTTAAGTTTTTTTTCTTCTTGTTTAACTGGAGGGTATAGTGAATGACAGCTGTCTTCATCCCTATACTCAATTTAATTTTTGTCTCCAGCACCAAATGTGAGGAGTGATAGATTTCTTCACCTCAAAGATAGAGACTGTTTTTCCTTTCCTGGCTTGATCCCACATCTCTTTCAGACTTCCCTCATCCCTGACATTTCCAGATTTACCTTCTGATTTGGTGGTTCCAAATTTTGCTATCTCATTGAGAGACCTATTTGGCTGTAACCACCTCTGCATGTCTCACTCTCCAAGGAGCCATTGTATAATTGATTTGAATTCTTAATAGAATCTGACCAGTTGTCTTCATCTTATTGCTACATCATGACTGAAGCTCATGCCCAATCCTGTGAATTTCAATCTGAGTAGGGCTTGCTTGCTTGCATGAATTTTAGAATGGAGAGAATGTAGTGAATCTGCCCCTGCTGCCTTTCCATGCCGTCAAGTGAGTGGCTCTGGATTAGAGGCCTGGTATCAGTCAGCTGATCGAGCTCTGAACTGGAATGTTGTGCTGAGGGTTGGGAAGAAAATATAGGAAATATAGAAACATAGGAGCAGGAGGAGGCCATTCGGCCCTTCGAGCCTGCTCCGCCATTCTTCATGATGATGGTTGATCGTCTGACTCCATAGCCTAATCCAGCTTTCTCCTCATAACGTTTGATCCCATTGGTCCCAAGTGCTGTATCTAGTCACCTCTTGAATACATTCAACTACTTCCTATGGTAATGAATTTCACACGCTCACCACTCTTTGGGTGAAGAAATGTGTCTCATCTCCATCCTAAATAGTCTACCCCGAATCCTCATATTGTGATCCCTAGTTCTGGACACCAACACCATCGGGAACATCATCCCTGCATCTACTCTGTCCAGTCATGTTAGAATTTTGTAAGTTTCTGAGATCCCCCCCCTTGTTCGTCTGAACTCTAGTGAAAACAATCCTAACCCAGTCAATCTCTCCTCATACGTCAGACCCGCCATCCCCGGAATCAGCCTGGTAAACCTTCGCTGCACTCCCTAGAGAGCAAGAGCATCCTTCCTTAGAAAAGGAAACCAAAACGGCACACCATATTCCAGGTGTGGCCTCACCAAGGCCCTGTATAACTGCAACAACACATTCCTGCTCCTGTACTTGAAACCTGTCACAATGAAGACCAACATACCATTTGACTTCTCTACTGCCTGCTGCATCTGCATGCTTACCTTCAGTGACTAGTGCACAAGGACACCCAGGTCTTGCTGCACACTCCCCTCCCAATTTCCAGTCATTCAGGTAGTAATCTGCCGCCTTGTTTTTGAAAATTGACACAACAGGAAGGAGTGATTTTTTTTTTTTTTTTCTTCCCTGATAGTTTTCTTTTTTTAAGGGAAGGAGGCCAGATAGTTTTGAATTTTGGTTGTTGCGAGAAGAGTTTTGTTAGAAGTCTGTTTATAACTTATGGCCTTTTGCATTTTGTAGAAGATACCAGCTGGTGCCAGGGGAGATTGTGTTCTCATGTTGGTGTTGCTGTTTTAAATATAGATCAAATGTATTTGACATTCTTCCTTTCAGAAGTCAGCTTTTCTTCTATACAACAGGAATGGGTATTGGAGTTTTGGCTTCACTCATCATTCTCGTCTTTGTCCTCGCTCGTTTATTCCCCAAGGTAGGTTGGTGAGCAACTTTTCCCAGTGTGAAAAAATTACTTGATTCTGTTTGTGAGCATGACCTGGGACAATGATGAAGAATATCTGAATATTTTCACACTTTGTAGCTGTTGTCGCATTGTGTTTCCAAACATAATGCATGTTTGGCACAAGGTGAAATCTGTGATAAGTGTTCCAATCTCCAAACAGGAGCCATTTCTGTACCAGTGTGAATTTTGTCTTCAAAAAATTTTTAGTGAAATTACAATATGCTGAATTAAGAGGAGTTCTGTGCTGTATACATCTGCCTTACTTGAAGCTAGGTAGACATTCTGAATTACTGTTTTACCAAAGACACTGGTGTATTTGAATGTGATAGTTTGCTGGTTAAGTGATTGTTGTGAAGATTACTTTGGGGAAGAACAAAATTCACTGTTCAGAATGGTTGGAGCTTTCCTTCTGTATTTAAATACTGCTTTGACTGTTCAATGATCCAGGATGAATGTTCCCCATGTAATTAAACACCAAAGAAAATTAACTTTTCAAATTTTTTTTTTCTCCCTTTTACTTTGCAGAAAAGTTCTCTCTACTTGCTGATGGCAGGTGGTTGGTCTGTGTCTCTGTATCTGATCCAAGTGACACTGAGGAACTTACGTTTTCTGCTAAGAGAGTGTTGGCAGTATGTTTTAGGTGAGATGGTTTACTGTTTTTTAATATAGTAGATGTAGAATTTCATTGAAAATGAATTCCCAGTAGGCTGATTCCTGCAAAATCTCAATTTTCATGGTGCAAAAGGAGGCCATTTTAGCCCGTGTCTGCACCAGCTCTCTGAATGAGCATCGTGCCTTGGTACTATTCCCCTGTCTCTTCCCATAACCTTTTATGTTGTTTACATATAAACAATCATCCAATGCCCTTTTGAATGCCTTTATTGAATCTGCCTCCTCCACACTTCCAGACAGTGGATTCCATCCTAACTACTTGTTGTGAGAAAAAGGTTTTTCAAGTGTTACATTGGCTTCTTTTGCAAATTAATTTAAACCTGTGCCCCCTCACTCTTGACTTTGAGTTTTCTCCCTTTCTGCTCTGTCTAGACCCCTCATGATTTTAAATTTCTATCTGATGTCCTCTTGGCCTTCTCTTCTCCAAGGAAAACAGACCCAACTTGTCCAATCTATCCTTGGAATTGAAGATTCTCATCCCTGGAAACATTCTTGTAAACCTTCTCCACTCTCTCTCCAGTTTATCCATGTTTTTCTTGAAGTGTGGTATCCAGAACTGCACATGATACTTCCACTAACATTGAACAAGATTAACATGACCTCCATTCTCTACGCTTCTATTAATAAAATGATAGTTTTTACTCTGACTTTGTCAATAGGATTTTGTAACTAGTGACTTTGCCTTCAGACCATTACTTCAATAGTATAATATTTGTGTTGAGGTTAATAACCAAGGATGAACACCCTGTCTTGATATCCTGAAACTATGTTCTCATACCATCCGCGTGTCAGATATAAAACCGTACCACCTATGATACTGGATGAACAGAACTGAGGCAGAGTCCTCAAATGTTGTTCTATCATCTTTGGAACTTTTATCTCCCAAGTATTTTATCCTTTCCAAAAAAGTGTGGCATGAGGCAAACAGCCTCCATCAAATTCTGAGCTATATTTCCAGAGGAGAACTTGGTTTAATTGATTTGTGTGCTGTGTGAGGGACCAGATAGAAAGTCTCCAGCTCTAGCATTTTTACAAATGCCTTTGTGGGAAAGCAGCCAAAGCTCACTGAGCTGTTGGGAGTATGTACAAGCCGCTTCTGCTTCCATTATGTGGGATAGTTGATGGTGCATTATAAATGTCACATGATGGCATTTGTCAATAGAATAGCCATGGTATTGCACACAGCAGAAGAGGTATAATTGGCCAATTTGTGTATGTGTGCTTGTTTAACTTTATCCAATTAATTGCAATTCAGATCTAGAGTTGAAACTTCACCAATTTTTTTTTAAATTTTCAGCTGTGGCGGATAATCATATGCATAATTTACTTGTTTCTCGATTTGGTTATAGAACAGCATTTAATCTTATGTTTTTATTTAGATGTTATTCAATGATTTCAGTTGCACGATACAACACTCTCTCATCACTATAAAACTGCATATTGTCCTATTAACTGTGAAGTACTACAGACTATCTAATGTCAGAATTTAAATCCTCCAAAAAGTTATTTTAAGATGGACCTACGTGTTACTCTGAGAAACCAGATATTATTGCAATAAACTGGAACCAGCAAGTGTTTTGCTTCTCAAAGCACAGTCCTTCTGCTTGAAAATATTTACAAATTCAGAGTGTTGTTGATTTTTATGCATTAATATCACTGAGTCATTAGCATGTGGATTTTTTGGCTAGGGAACTGGTGTGTATCACGTGGGAGGACAGTGGTATAAAGAGCAAAAATGCAGATTTTGAAACTTGGAAAAACATTTCTGTCTCCTCAGTCATATCATACTCGAGCTAGCTAGGTGAGCGATTCCAACATTTAACACTGCTTTTGTCAGCAGCAGGCAGTATGTAAATTGAGAAGGAGCTTGGTAATCCTTCCTGTTGCTTTCCCTCCTTTGCAATTGTTACAATCCTTGAAGAGACCAATTAACATTTTTTAAGGGATGAATTCCTCAGTGTCCAACAGAAATAACTGAAGGGCAAATTTTGTGCTTTAATACTTTAATTGTGAAAAAACAAGCTAAAGTTAAGATGGACCAAACATTGCATAACAGGCAACTAATACGCTAAGCCAGAGAAAAGGTACCACTTATTAGTTAATGAACAGCTAAATATATGCTTGCCTAATGCTGACTGTGTAACTATCATCAATTGTAAAAATCTATCTGCTTCACTAATGTACTTTAGAAAAGGAAATGTCGTCCTTACCTAGTGTGGCCCATGTGTGACTCCAGACCCCCAGCACAGTGTTTGACTGCTAATGGTCCTCTGAAATGGCCCCAGCAAACCAGTCAGTTCATGCGACGATTAGAGATGGGCAACGAATGCTGGTCCAGCCAGTGGCGCCAACATTCCATGAACAAAGGGGGGACAAGAATACTTTGATATATTTTAACTTTTACATAACCCTTCCAGCAAATATGTAGCCTTAAGGCTATAAGTTCCAAGCTTTTCAGCAGGCCCCCTTCTCCCTGCCATTGCTAAATTGAATCTGCCAGTAATTGTGGAAAATTATTCCATGTTGTCTTTGGAGTATCCTTGAGCCAACTTTTTTTTTTAATCTTTTGTAGGTGTCGCCAGCTAGGCTAGTATTTATTGCCTGTCCCTAATTGCTGCTTGTACTGACTGGACTGTTGGGGCCATTTCAGAGGGCAGTCAGCTACATTGCTGTGGGTCTGAAGTCACATTTAGGCCAGACCAGGTAAGGGTGTCAGATTTCCTTCCCCAAAGGGCATTAGTGAACCAGGTGAGTTTTAATGACAATCGACAGTAGGCTTACATAGTAGCCATTAGGCTTTATTTAGTGCTTTATTCCAGATTTTTATTGAATTCCTATTGCATCATCATGGGATTTGAGCCAGTGCCCCAGAACATTAGCCTGGGGTTCTGGATTATTTGACCAGTGCTATTACCATTATGCCACCACTTTCCTCCAATAGCAACGCCCACTTTAGTGACTCTTTAATTCTGTTCCAGCAGAAACTCATTCTGGCTAGCATCCTGCTTGGTTGCGAACAAAAAATTTTTTCACCACTGCAACTCCCAATCTTGCTCCCACTGTCTGGGGTCGAGGTGGGGGAGAGCGGGTTAAGAAAAACAACAGCTGGCCTTGGTAAAGGACCACATTTGTAATTCTGAAAGGTACCTTAACACTCTATTCTGCCTTCATTCTTCTGCCAGCCCCCTCACTTTGCCAAATAGTAGTGCTGAGTCTACCTGCCTCCTGGTAGCCTTTGGTTAATAGCACACCACAGCTGAGAAATGATCTAGATTGTGACATACAGATTATGAAGCTAAAACAGATATGTAATTTTATGAAGGTTTTTCTTCCTGTACTATTGATGTTTCAGGTTATGTGACAATATCTGCCATCATCAGTTTTGCTGTCTGCTACAAGTATGGCCCACTGGAGGAGGACAGAAGTGTCAATCTTCTAAACTGGGCCCTACAACTCATTGGACTGTTATTAATCTATTTTGGTATCCAAGTACGACAAGTTGCTCTGGCACTCATCATTGTAGCTTTCTGCATCAAGAACCTAGAGCGCCCACTTAGGTGGACGTACACTGCATACAAGTAAGTGTTTTGTGTAGAAACTATTCCCTAAAGTTGAAATAACTGGATGTTCAGCTGTGGGTAAATGGACAACCAGATTTGTTGCCCTGTTGTCTGGAAAAAGTGAATCACATTGACCTTACTCTGATACAGAGCAGATGGATGAAGAATAAAACTAATTATTGACGAGAATATCTTGACACTGGTTTTGGAAAATGACTCATGACCCCAGTGCTAGATGTAGAGCTACTAACAAGGAGAATGGAATTTGAATCCAAGTCTTGATTTGCATTTCTACTTGAGACAATAAAATGTTTATGTAGTCCCTTTTTAATATAGAAAAACATCCTAAGGCACTTCAGAGATGCAGTCACAAAATGACTGCCAAGCCCATGAAGAAAACCAGGTGACTAAAAGCTTGGTTGATGTGGTAGGTTTTAAGATGATTCTTAGAGATGGAGCTCAGGAAGAGGCATTTTGATGACACCAATTTGTGTCTTTATACCAGTATCAAATAACTTTCAGGAATTGTTCTGTGTTTCTTTCACTACATATTCAGGTGACTGTTATTGGAACTATTGGTTTTTTTCAAAAAGGTAAAAATTATAAATATAAGACATTGAGTCACACCCCCAAGGACTGCAGATGTTCAAGGCAGTGGCTCGCCACCACCTTTTCTACAGCAGTTAGGAATAGATGTTAAATTCTGATCTAACCAGCAATGCCCACATCCCAACAATGAATTCTTAAGTTGAGTTGCTTAATAAGAATGCACATTTCCACACTGTATTGCCATGCGACGATGTCTTGCTTACATTGCTGACCCTGTTGGTGTTGTACTTAATAGGCATGTCACTGCAATGTAATGAAAGAAGAATGTGGAGACAGCACCTAGGGCAGGTTGTAAACAGGTGAAGGTTTGGAAACAATTTCATTATATCTCCTTGAGATTGTGTAGTGACTCCTAAAATGAATCGAGAACTTGGAAAAATAATTTCCCATAAGGTTCCCATTCAGTTGATAGACTGGTCCTTCTGATTGTCTAAATTCAAATAATTTTTAAGTGTATAATAAACACACTCTTGAAATGAGGGGATTTCAGGTATATATTGAACAGGGGGAAATGAGCTTAGAAAGTGTTGACTGTCGCAAGGTAAACCCTGGAATTGGAGAAAAGAAAAAAAACTCCTAAATAAAATTGGCGACCTTTTTCATAATTTTTTAAACTCTAATTTTAGACAAGTGTTCAAGGTAAGAGGCAAACCAAAGCCCCGAAAGCTTCTAACTGAGGAGGAATATCAGAGGCAAGGAGAAGTAGAAACACACAAAGCCCTGGTGGAGCTGCAGCAGTACTGCAGTAGCCCTGAATTCAATGCGTGGAAAATGGTGTCCAGACTTTCATCACCAAAGAGGTAATGCTTGTCTTTAAAATGCATTTAAATACCCTTTCTTCTTCTTCTTTCTCTATTCTCGAAGAAATGTGGGCAAAAGGCTTGTTTCAGGCCCTTGAGCTGGTAGTTGATTGATGTGCAAGACCCTGGATAACTTTTTTTTTCTCATTCTACCTTTTGTGGAAAGAGACATCCAAGCCTTAGTTAATTATCTGCCCTTGATCTCACAACTGAGATCTGTGTCACAACTCACTTGGGGTAGTGTGCTGGTAATCGAGCTCTGCTATTCCTGCAGTCGTCACAAACGTTCAAAATATTAAAGTACGCAAAATTCCCCAATTTACCTGATATAAACGCCCTTATACACATACATACGGATGTACAAACAAGGAAACAACACGTGGAAGGAGGGGAAACAAAAACTGGATAGACAGTTGAGTAGACTTCTGGCTTTCCTTTTCCAAATGCTTCTACTGATTTGCAAGAAGCACAGGACAGCTGGTTCACTTGTAAAATGTTTGATTTGTCAATTGGAATTCCACTTACAGCAACTGCTGAAGGAAAAATTAACTGGATTTCTTCAGGTTTGAAGCGAGTTTGACTGCAATCGAGTGTCAGCTCCTAAGTTGATGGAGATCAAATCCCTTCTCTGTAACTTGTTCAATTACTTGAGACCAACTCACGTGGCAGATGGTAGCCTTTGATGATGTTAAGTATCGTAAAGGTCCCCGTCAGCAGCTCTTTTCTCCCTAGCTCACCATTTATTAATCCCTTTCCCTGTCCTTCTCTCCCCTTTGGGCTCTGTCTCCACCTATCACTTCCTCCTTTCACCCACCCTGGCTCTGTTCAGCATATACCAGCTTTTTCCTAGACAGCATGACTTCTGAAGAAGGGTCACCGACCCGAAATGTTACCTGTGCTTTCTCTCCAAAGATGCAGCCAGACCTGAGTTTCTCCAGCAACTTCTGTTTTTGTTTGATTTCCAGCATCCACGTTCTTTATTTTATTTCAGCTATTTATGATGCTTGCCAAGAGTGTTGGCTTACTTGCTTTCAAACCATGCAGGCATCCTTTCAAAACACTTGTTTTAAAACAGTTCTTCCTCATTTCACAATTACAAAACACAATAAAAGGAACATGATCCTTGTGTCAGTATTTTGGTGTGTACAGAAATTGCAGATTGTAAATGCACTTTTTTTTTGTGGGTTGGTGCACGCAAGTTGTGTATCAGCACTGTATCCAACTCCTGATTAAAACCCAGAAAAGCTTAAAAGATGAAATAGGAAAAGGTGATCTGACCCATCAAGCCTGCTGCTTTCACAGACTGAGTTTGCAAAAGAGTTTTTCCTAGTTTTAACCACGTCCATCAGCATGGTAAGATATCAGAGAAGTTGGTTCTTTCCCATAAGAAAAATTCTAGTTATTGCTCAAGACCTTTTGCTTGACTTCTGCAACATACACTTGGTGTCATGTTGGACAGGTGCAATATCTTTACACCTGTGTGTTGTGGTTGGACAGCTTAGACTGTGAAGTGCTTCTTGAATGCTGCTATTGTCTGCTTCCACTACCACCACTGGCAACATGTTCCAGGCACTCACCACCCTTTGTGTGGTTAAAACCTGCCCCGCACGTCGCTCTTAAACTACTACGCACACACATACGCACATGCACACGCGCGCACACACACCTTGGACCTGTGTCCCTTAGTACCTGACCCCGCCACCCCGGGGAAAAGGCTGCATACGTTCCACTCTACACATGCCATGCACAATCTTATAACCTTCTATCAGGCCGCCCCTCAACCACCTGTAGTCTAGTGAAAACAGCCCAAGTCTATTCCAATCTTTCTTCATAGCTAAAATCCCCCATAACAGGCAACATCCTGGGTAAACCTTTTCTGTACCCTCTTCAAAACATCCACATCCTTCTGGTAGTGTGGTCACCAGAACTGAATGCAATATTTCAAGTGTGGCCTAATTGAAGTTCTGTAAAGCTGCAGCACAATTTGTTTATCCTTGTATTCAATACCCCTTCCAATGAACGGAAGCATGCCATAGGCCTTCTTTT